ATGATTAGTACTTGATATATTGTACTGACAAGTATATTGTCCAGCATCAGATAATGACACATTATTGATAGTGTAGCTGATAGTGTGTTCAGTATTATTATTGATACCAGTATATGAGTGTAGAGTGTGATTAGAGGAATTGAGCCATTGTATGTTCACATTAGTAGCAATATCAATAAGAGGAGAGTGTGGATAAGTGACAGAGCAAATGAGGCTAATGTTGTCACCAACATTATAATAAGGATATAATGGAGCAATTGATGGATTATTACCATTAGGAACTATTGGTATAAAATACACATGATAATGGTGTTAATAAAAATTTAAACAAAACTCACTTTTAATTGTTACATTAGTCACTCCTGTTCTGACATCACTTGGCATTATATAAGGATTGTTAATTGTACTATTGAGATAATATGTACAACTATATTCTCCAGCATCAGAGAGCTTTATATTAGTGAGAGTGTAATTGAAATATTTATTGTATGGACGAATAGAGTATTGCTGGTTAACATTTGTATTAGAACTCCATTTAATATTAACAGCAGTATCAATATCAACCAGTGGTGAGTTAGGCTCAGTAACTTTACAAGAGAGTGTGACCTTACTACCAACTTCATGAAAGGGTTTTGTAGGTAATTTGAGAACCAGTGACGTACTGTTAATTGGAACTAAAGTAATGAAACATAAATTAGTTAACTATTATAATAATGATGGCTCAAATTACTACTAATGACAATGTGTCGTAAATCTAATGATGTAACTTACTTTTAATATTTATTTGAATAGTAGCTGATTGTTTAACATCACTTAATTGAACAAATGAATTATTACTACGAATATAGGAACAAGCATAATATCCTCCTGAATATGATAATTTGAAATTAGTGAAGGGAATGTTTAAAGATTGTTTGTGACTACCAGTGGCACCAATATCAAATGCACCTGACCTAATGATCCTTTTGTTGTGTATGATGTCAATAATACCCTTAGTAGCAATAGGAGGTGATAATTGATAAGCAGTAATCATACAGGTTGCATTAAAACTGTCTCCAACTGTATATTCACTCAAAGACATGCTAACAACATCTCTAGAATTATTGACTATAAGAAACAACATAAAGGAAAACAGGTTAGTGATGACACTTACTTTTCATCATAACTTGTACATTATTTGATGTTTTATTTCTAACTGATTGTTCTCCTATCCATGCTACACAAGTGTAATTACCAAGTGTTGATACTGGAGTTGATGATGTTATTGGACTGAACCTCAGTGTACTAATAAATGATGTATCAGTAACAGACACAATGGGTAGTATAGATACTCCTTCACTGTCTGATACTAGTCTGTTCTCATTACCATTGTCTCTATACCAGGATACATTAACTATACTGTTAATATCAGTATTAGTAGTGTTAATATCAGTGTTAGTAGTAATATGACACTCCAAGTGGTGAGAAGTATTTGATAAAATTAATGAGTCAATATTAGTCACCACTGTCGTTATAAATGTATCTAATAAAAGGTGACAAATAAACATTATTTACTGACAGCATACCTTTCACAGTAATAGATACATTCGCTTGTTGAAAAGGACAGTTAATTGGATTTTTAATATTTAGCAAACTACAAATATACACTGTATTGTTGATTGACTGATCCACTGTTAATATGAGAGGATTGTTAAACACTCTATTAGATGTATAATCATGCCATGCTACAACAACTTCTGATTGTCTATAATTATACCCTAATGTACAATCATACTCTCTAACATCTCCTAGTCTTAGATTAGTATCAAAAAGACTATTTATGACAGGAACTAAATGAAAGATTTATTAAAATTTTGATTCTCATAATAGACTAACTTTTAATACAAAGATCTTCTGTACTACTTACAACAGTATTATTACCATCAATACTAGCTCTACACTGATATACTCCAGCGTCAGAGAGTTGAACACTAGTAATATTCAGTGTTGTTACCAGACTCTTACTGTCACCACTAATCATCAGTTGTGTACTCCTATCACTAATATCAGTGCTATACTGATACCAGTAATGACTAATGAATGATGTATCAGGACCTATCCCAGTATTAAGACTGATAGTACAGGCCAGTACTACTGAAGAGTTAATGAATCTGACTATTGAAGAGGGTGTTATAGTCACTAAATTAATATAAGCAGCTATACAATCTATTTATAATTACAATTGTATTTTCTGAACTCTTACCTGTCACTCTCAATGTAATGACCTGTGATTGAGTACTACAGTCCGAAGGATTAGTCTCAAACATTATTGTACAAGTATATTGTGCATTGTTATGTGATGGTAGTACTGATGGTATCATTAGTGTATTATTGTTACTATAAATAGAACCATCAGTAATTAGCCAGGATACTGATACTCCAGTAGGTACTGGTCCAGTGATACAATCAATTGAATAATACTGACCAAGGGAGAGTTCTTCTGTTACTGATGGTAGTGTCTCATTAACTGCATAAAGAATGTTAATAGCAAATACACTATTATGTCTAATGTCTTACCTGTTACACATACACTGATATTGTTAGTAGTTACATTAGAATCAATCCCAGCATTACAACGATATACTCCAGCATCAAATACTTGTATAGAATCAATATTTAGTATTGAAATGAAGAGAAAGTCATAGTTTCTCAATAATGAACTATGGTGTGTAATATTAGTCATATTATGATACCAACTGACAATGGGTTGAATACCAGGACCAACAGGAGTATTAAGAAGAATGAAACAATCAATCTTTACTGTTGAATTGATTAGGAATGATAACTGAGAAGACATCACGATTGAACTCACATATGTCCCTAAGTATATATATTAATAAGAATCATTCATATTTGTTAATCAATACTTTTAATATCAATGATAATTGTCTTGTTGTCTGGTAAACTGCAAGTCACTGGGTTAGCATTTACTTCTACAGTACAAGTATATTCAGTGTTGTTAAGTGATGGTACCACATTAGGTAGTATTAGTGTATTATTGTTACTGACAACAGAACCATTTGAATCAGTCCATTTTATGGTAGTCCCATTTATTAATAAGATATTCACACACTGTATTGCTGCACTATATCCCAGTGGTAAATCTTTTAAAGTATCATTGTACTGATAAAATGGAACTAGAACAAGAAACAAAAAGTGAAATCAAAAGTAATACTATGTCTTTTGTATTAATATTGTACCTTTTAAACACAAATCTTTGGAACCGGAAATTTTTATATCTGATCCATTAATTGATGCATTACAAATATATACTCCAGCATCAGTTGGTGAAATTGCTGTTAATGTCAGGATACTATAAAATGTTGATAATGAACCATTATTATTAGTGATATTATTTGATGGTATCATTTTATCATTTTTAAACCAGTTCACTACAAGTGAAGAAACATCAGCACTGATGAGACTAATAGTACACACTATTGATACATTATCACCAATAACATAAGAAGATAGTGATTGCACAGTAAGAGTATCTAAAATAAACATAATAATGTACTATGTACTATGATCAACTAACCTATTACACTAATAGTAATAGTCTTTGTCAGATTTATAGCCAGTAAATCTGATGATACTACACAAGTGATTATGTTATTATTATGAGAGAGCATCACTGGATTAATGATCAGTTCATTGCTATCAGTATTAAATGACGATGAATGCCATTGTATTACACTGCTAGGGATGGAGGGCATTGTAGTACAGTTAATACTGACACTACTACCAACAGTGAGGTTAGTGTATTGACCCGTAACAGTGATAAAAGGTACTAAAAAGGATTGAAAAACTTAAATTGAATGCAATTTTTGTTTTACTTTAGAAGTAGGATCAATTTATAGTCATATTAGGATATTATTTACTTTTCATTATTAAAGAAATACTTCCTGAGCCACAAGTATAGTTTCCAGTATCAGTGCTCCTCACTTCTTGTATAGTCAGTGTACCACTAGTAGTATTGATATTGTAATGAGCATCATCATTACTAATATCAGTTCCATTCAGTTTCCACTGTGTTGTACCATTTAGTGTACAATGTAAGATTACACATTCACCAATTGATACTCTTGTTTCAATACTGGGGTTTCCATTTGATGATACAATTTGATTACACGTAGCTATAAAGTATAAGAATTATAAGCATAATTTTAATCTTTTGATGTGACATTATGATGAGCATGCACCATGGACATTATGAATAACTTTTAACTTGAAATACACAAATACAAGCTTATACATGCATATAAGGTATTGACATTAAAAATTATGTAACAGTGAAGCTTAGGTATCACTAGATATTGTTATAAAATGAACAATGGATTAAAGTTCATTTCATACTTTAAATTTCATACTTTAACTCAGTACATATGACTATACATTTACCTTCACAATTTGAAAGTGTGCCAATGATCAATAATATTAACAAAGGGGAGAAGCAATACTCCATTTTGCTAGGGCCCAAAAAAACCTCAGATCACAGTTGTACTTTTCTGGTGGGTCAGGTGAACAGTCGGGAGTGATTGTGGGTTGAATAGATACTGTTAACAATAACTCACTCACTGTATTGTTTCCCTATATGGTGATAATGTTTGCCCACCTGCAGTTAACATAAAAAAACTATCTTAACATTCAAATTGTGTACCTCATCACTCTCTCAATTGTGCATCCATGGTTGATATGTTGAAATCAAGGCACATTATACAGCTTGGTACTTGAGGATCTATAATCTGTTATAGTACGGCAATGACCATTGACAAACAAGAGTACTAGTTTATGCATGCAGTTGCGACCTTGTTGTTGTGAAACTATACTTTACATTGAGCAACAGATCTACTATAAACAACAACATTAACTGCAAAAATTATGATTTTTAGTATCATGAACAAACAGTACACTCACGCAAAACGTGGGCGTAGTCGGACTGTATCATGTGACTTTTTATGATGTCATACGGTACCACGTGCTAGTTCATGGAGGGTAACGCCATAGATATGTATAATATCTATGGTAACCTCGATGGTAACGCAAAGGGGAAGAAGAGGAACTCGTTCCTTGTTCCTGTACCTCTAGCAGAAGCAAGACTTCTAGGACCAGGTGAAGATGCCTGCTTTAGACATGGAGCCATTAGGAAACTAGTACTACATAATTTCCTGTAAGTATATATAAGCTAACAAGTAGCTGATGATATTCCGCCATTTTTTCACACTAGCACTTTTGATAATATTGTCCTGGAACCATCACCTCAACAGTTGGTCGGAACGGTGAACACCTCTCATTTATTCTGTCCTCACTGACACTCAAAAAGTTTCAGATTGCATAAAAACGGCACTGTGGAAGGGGGTGTGGCTAAATAGAACCCTAATTTCTATCCTAATAATACACAACAAAACTAGGAAAGTGTGCCACACCTCTTCCGGTGCTGGTTTTTGTGTGACCCAAATTTTTGACCTTTTCATTAAATTAATTTTTTGTAGGCACTGGTAAATCAAGTCTTGTTTGTGCCATAATGTCTTGTTCTTTGTGGCAATACCTCTATCCTTGGACGAGCAAAAGACGTGAGTGTTCCATTCAAGTGTCATGTGACAATTACCTCACCTCGTTTTATTTTGTAGTTGAAGGATTTTGTGAAGAGCAGCCCAGCAAAGGAAGGATATGTTGAGATTACAATGTAAGAATAATTATTATGAATATTAAGTGGGGTGCAGTGTATATACATTACTGTACCCTAGTAGGATAGTATTGAATTGCATGTCACATGTACACGTATATGTATAATTGCCTTGTCATTCCTTTATACCTACCAAAGCAGTGAAGTGTTTCTGGACCTAATCATGGAATTTGCTAAAGTTTTGAGTTATATGGTCTGTATTATGCCTTGCTTGTGCCTACTACATGTATCTCATGCATGTAGCCATGTACATGTACATGTAGCAGGAACATTCTATAAGAGTTTTATTTTGGCAATGTGCAATAAATTGATGATAATAGAATCGTCATGATAACTCTCACCATTTAGCCTTACTTTGATTATCTTAGGACATGTGGCTGCACAATTACCAATATACACAATGTAATAGTTGCAATCATGGAATTACATTGTACATGTACTAATGTTAAGAGCCACCGAAATCCCCCACTATTATTGTAGACTAATTTGTAGTTATTTATACCATTGGTGTTATGTACATGTACATGTACATGTAAATGCACGCAAAAACTTCTTTTTTATTTAATTTGTCTCATTTCTCTCTTTAAAGAAACTATATTCTTTGTCTCAGTCATCACAGAAGTGGTAACCATCCCACCATTAGGAGACATATATTCAAGGACAGGAATAATTCAAAATGGCTTCTTAATGGAGTTGACAAGAGAGAAATGGAGGTGGGCATTAAATAGAAACAAATGCGTTAATTGTGTATTTGGTGGGAAAATTTTAGTTTTACAGTATTTAGAATTTTAGGACTGTGCTAACAAGTTTTTTGGATTTTGATTTTGCTGTTGTAAAAAATGTTATTACGAAAATAAAGCACTTATTTTGGTAGAAATATGCGTTGAATGTATTTTTTGAGAGATATTTGTTTGGACCAGCCAACTAGGCATTTGTGTAATAAATACTGCAGCTATAATTATGGTCAGCTGATATGGCACTAAGTACATGTATAAGTACATGTAGAGCATGTATATTTTAAAACTGCATGTAATTTGCATGACTTAAGGGCTAATACATTGTATATACATCTAAGTTTAAAACTGTTGTACATAGTACAATATACATTAATTGACATGTAAATTACATGTATGTTATTTCTTTTTAAAAGGTTAAAGATCTTGTGAAGAGTTTGAATATACAACTGGAGAAGAAGTGCCAATTTCTGCCACAAGTGAGTGAAAAAGTAAATGTATCATTTGAAGGTTCTCTTTGATGAGCATATGTTCTTGAGGGTTTCCCACTGGATTCTGGCATAGTGCTCATGCAGCTTTTTGTCAGTGGAAGACCCTGTACTATAGTACAGGGTATTTTGAGAAAAATTACAAGAAGAGAATTCTCCATTTTTATAATTTTTTTCTGAAATGTATACATGTACTTAATTCAGGGTTGAGGTCCAATTACAAATTCATGATTATGATTACACCTATGATTACATGTACTGCATGTATAGTGATTATGATTACAATTACGATTACAAACCTGTCATTAACAATTACGATTACTGTAGATTAGGAAATTTTTATGTTAAAAATAATTGGTGTGAAATTTTAAAAAGTGTTTTATTTTCGTTGGTTGACCCATCTGCAAAGTTTTTTTTTAACACAGAAAATTTCGGATGCGTCATAAATTGGACACGTGGCTACTAACTCTTGATGATGAATGGACAGCTATTCAATGGAAGCTGCTCATGGCAGCACTGAAACTGAAAAGAAGTCTCTTGGGTGAGAGCTTCAGGCCTTCATTGGGCTTTTAGAAGGGCCTCATGTGTCCACTGCTGCACGTTAAAATATTTTGTGTGTCAATGTCAAAAATTTGTGGGTAACTTCAACCGAAAAAATATTTTAACAATGAAAATTTCCCGATCTACAGTATGCCACTGTATTAGATATGATAATGATATATGGAAAAATTATTGCTCAGAATCAGTGTTGCATCTTATAAACATGAGTTTTAAAACATAATACACGTTTATATTCCTGATCCTATCCTGCAGGTATGGTATACAATCTCCAGTTTATTTTAAGGATAAGAGTGGACGACTAGTAATATCACCAAAAGTTGATGATCCAAACACACTGCACTGGACTGAAGGTGAATATTAGACCATATTAACTATTATGTGTAATCACGCTCCTTTTATCTTTCCTTTTCTTCTTCATTCAAGGTTCTATTACATTTACTGATCGTAGTATTACAGTGGAAACTCATCATTCTTCGTTCGCTATTAGCTTATTTGATCATATCCTTGTTAGCGTTAAAGTTGATTCCACATCACCAGCCCATCCTCATAAAATATCACTTGAACTGAACCAATGCACACCAACCAAACCAAGTACTGGTGATCATCGGAAGGAAGGGAAGACAACATCAAAAGATATTATTAAAGTAAATATCGTAGGGCACCTTTTTTGATGGCTATAAGTTTCGGGGAATTTTATTTTGCAGAATTAATTTTTTGCAAATTTATGCCATTTGCCATCTTGTACTGTATTAATTTGATTTTCGCGGTAGTAATTTTGTGAATCTTTTAAAAAAATTGCAAAATCAGTAAAGTTTATAGCCCTTGAAAAAAAGGTGCCCTATGGTATAAGGGCAACTCTCAGTACTTTTGTTTATGCTCAAGCAAGGGCCTGAGCTATAAAGACTTAGACTCTTACAATTATTTCAAATGGCAAGTCTAGCTTGTGGTTGTTAGATTAACTGGTGCTTCAAATAGAGCAGTGGTCCATACTTGAAGCAATAAATATTAAAATTACAATAAAAACCTTTAAGTTTCATGATCCCTGTTGCCAATGTATTTGCTTAATCACATGTACATGAAAGGCACCGACTGAATATGCATGTTGCCTAATAAATTGATATACTATATCCCAGTTGAGTTTGGGACAAGAAAAACTGGAATAACTTTTTATAGGAATGTGGGATAAGGATGAAACTTTCACAGGTTCTTAGTCGCCAAAGTCCATCAAAATCTGTGAAATCTTGGGTCTCTCAGCTCTTGGGGACCCTGAGAACCGGGTTCTCCCTATAAACCCAATGGCATACCAAAATGACATTTTATGACAATTTATCTATGAATATCATTAAAATACGTCATTTTTGTGACGTTGCTACATTTTTTAAATTCCACGCAGCTGCTTCCACTTCCGTCCCAAACTGAACTGGGATATAGTATAGTTACATATGACATTCTAATGTTTGTGTGTTTTTAGGTTTTGAGATCAGAAGAGAAAGCAAAACGTGAAAAAGACACTAGTGAAATGTTGAGTGAAGAATATAAGCAGCAGGAACACACTTTATATACAATAATTAATAAAATGCATCACATTGGAATAAGAGACTATTGATGAGTTATTGTTGATGATTCTATAGAGGTGAGAGTATACACAACCTTGGTTTTAATCCACCCACTATTAATTAATTGTGTTACTATTCATTTTTTCACAATGTATGCTTTGAACAGTTCGACCAGATGAAAATGAAGTTTGATACCATAATTCCTCTAAATATTTGGCACTCTAAATTTGAATAAAAATAATTATTTCAAATTTTCTACCATAATTTGTTCTAAAAATTTGTTTTAAATATTATTGTTCCATGTGGTTCTAATTTCTAGAGGTGGGCATACTTTATTTTTTGGAATTGATACGATACTGAGTATTTTCTTTTTTGGTATTACTGATGTTGATACTATTCAATACGATACTAACCACACCCAACCACACCCATTATTAATTAATTTCAGTAAATTAACTACAATTATAAGCTGCATGTGTCAAAATTTAATTACTAAAGGTGTGGTTATGGGTGTGGTCTCAGTATCGATGCTGCCATTCCTAATATTGTGATACCAATACTAATCGATACCGGCCCAGTATCAGTTGTATCGATAACATTTTGACAGTATCGCCCACCACTACTAATTTCATCACTTACCTCTAAGTTCAATACAAGAGAAGGATACTCTGAATGGCCAGGTTAGCATACAGCTGGTTTTGTGTATTAATGGATCCCTCCAAATTCGACTAAATAATTAATTTAAAAGTTTTATAACTACTCTCTCTCTCCAAAAAACCATTTTTAAAATTTACAAATACAAAACTTGATGTGATAAATTTTTAAGAGGAATTACGGTAGCTCTACACTAGATTACAATGAGACTAGGCTTTTAAAATGTAGCAAATTAATTATTGTTTACAATAGTCACAAAGTATTTACAGCAGCATAAGCTTCATTGCATTCCATTTTTATATCAACATTCTCTTCAGTAATTGCAGTGACAGGAACTTCATAATCAGCAGCAGAAATAGGATCAGTTGATTCAATTTTAACCTCATCATAAACTGCTTGTGGTTTCACTTCCTTCAAACTAATATCAGGATCATCATAAACTGGTTCAGTAGTAGTTTTAAGATCACTAGTGCTATGATTAGTTTTCTTCCTATAAATAGGTTAAAAATTAATGAAATAAACTTAAAAATACTCACTTTATGACCATTATTAATATTCCAATTGTTATTGTGGCAATCAAAAACCTCAAGATTATTATAACAACAATAATAACTATCACTGTACTACCTGCTG